GTGAAGAGACGCCATGACCATAACAACTCTTAAAAAGGAAATTTTTAATTGGACTTGTTCACTTACAGTTTCAGAGGTTCAGTCTATTATCATCATGGTGGGGAACATGGTGGCACATAGGCAGACGTGCTGCTGGAGGAGGAACTGAGAATCCTACATCTTGCAGGTGACAGAAAGTTAACTGAGACACTGGGCAGTATCCTGAGCATAGGGAACCTCAAAGCCCAACCCCACACTGACACACTTCCTCTAACAAGGCCACACCCACTCTAACAAAGCCACAGCTCCTAATAGTACCACTCCCTGTGAGATTATAGGTGCTAATTACATTCAAACTACCACAGAAGTGTTCCTGACACTTTAGATTCCTTGCTCTGAAACTCCACGGCACACCCCTCAGGACCTTGAAGGCTGGCAGTCACATCTGCAGGCACCTTCATGTCACATGCAAGGCCTTGAGTCCCATCTCAGGATATATATGTGTGTGTGAATATAAACAAACAGGCAAAATGCTCTTTGCCATCGGTGTAACTACCATGAGAAATTATCACACAAAACTTCCTTGGAATTAGAACCTCCTTGTAAATTGAGACAGCTTTTTCTTTTCCTGGCCACGCAGACCCAAATAATCACACAACAATGTTACAACAATAGTTACAACAATGTTTGGCCAATGGCTCAAGCATATTCCTAGCTAGCTCTTATAGCTTAAATTAACCCATTTCTAGTTTTTCATATTTTACAAAGAGGCTCGTGATTTGTTACCTCTTGCTTCTTGGATGGCTACATGGAATCCACCTTCTATCTCCCTGAATTCAGTTTAGTTTTCCCGCCTACCTATATTATGCTTTGCTATAGGTCAAAGCAGCTTCTTTATTAACCAATGGTAATAAAACATATTCACAGCATTCAGAGGGGAATCCTACATCACCTCCTTCTGATTATTGTCAAGGATGATGTACTATCTGTTCTGACTGTTATCTCTGGGTTGAGTTTTATCTCAAGCCCCAGATCAATAATAATCAGTATTAAAGCTTCAGAGGTGAAGCTGAGACAGAATCAAAACAAGACCCGTTTACGAAATGGATGCAGGATACTTGTTTTTTCCAATGCCAAGAAAGAGTTGACTAAGCCCCTCCCTTATCCATGTGCTGGGCTAACAGCAACACCCACCACGATGACACTCAAAACAGCTGCTTCCCCAAAGGAGTGGAAGTAAGGGTTCATTGAATTTTGAAGAGCACTTAGTAGTGAGTTTTTAAGGACTCACTAGTGAATTGCATTCTCCACATGGAAGTGCAGGCCAGTGTCTCTGAAGCTTAGAATAAGCTCAGAATTAGTTTTATCCCAAGATCAGGAAGCAGTGATGAGAAGCAGCCCTCACCCTGAATCGATGGGCCACTGAGAAGTCTCCCAGCTCCTCTAAGAAATGCAAACAGCATGCCTCATACCAGACCCTGTTGTGTGGTCACTATGCACTTAACAGAAAGATGCACCCTTAATGAGCTTTTCTCTAAGAATTCCCCTCCCTTGGGAGGGGGAAGCACACTTTACCTTCAATACAGCAAAGCATGATTTCTCGAAGGGCGAAAATTAAGCTCATAGAAATGCATGATTGGATTAAGAGCGTACAAAAGCTTTCAAAGAACTGGACATGGGGGAGACTTTGTCTCAGTTTAAAAATTTTCCTAGAGGTGCAATTACAGAGCCACTGAGAAGCAGGGGAGTGACATTTGCCCTACACTGATCTCTAAGCTTTCCTGGTGTCGCAGAGGCACCTGCCTTTAGCACCATCTTGGTGTTCTTCCTGCTTATTCGGATGTGCTGTGTCGGTGTTGTATTGTTCCCAGGCTTTGTGAGAACAAATAAAGCAGGTGTGCCTTTTCCTCTTAGAATTCATTAGGAGAAGATGAGAGATTTTAATTATGGAAAGGATCGATAGATTTGATCACATTAAAAATTAAACAAGGGCTAGGGGCATGGCTCAGCAGTAGAGTACCTGCATAGAATCTTCCAGTGAGAAGCTGGGGTGTGGCTCAGTGGTAGAGCCCCTGCCTAGAATCCCCCAGTGAGGGGCTGGGGTGTGGCTCAGTGGTAGAGCCCCTGCCTAGAATCTCCCAGTGAAGGGCTGGAGGCATGATTCAGAAACTGAGGACTTGCTTAGCCTTAGGTTCCATCCCAGGATATATACATAAGCAAACAGGCACAACCTTTGCACCACCCCCTAATGTGTGAAATTAAGAGGTCAAGAGCAAACTGGTAAGAATCCACATGACACATCAATCAAAAGACAGATTATCACTAACACACAGGAGAAAGTGGATTTGGACTCAGTGGCCCTAGAGGTTCCGTTTTGTTAAACAAGAATGTAGGAAGAGCTAATGTCAGCAAGTCCTACCCTTGAAATGTGATTTCCCTGCTTTGTACAACATTCTAGCTTCAGAAAGAAAAGAAGTTGAATTCCCAGTAGGATAATAAAATGGGCAAAGGACAAATATTTAATAATGAAATAAAAAATAATGTAACCCAAGTAGGGCAAATTAAGGAGCCACTGAGATAAGATGTTTGCTTAATAAATTGTCTATTTGAAAAAAAATTAATATTCTCTGCTGGAAAAGTTGCAGGGAAATGGGTATCTTTACACACAGCAGGTAGAATTGTAAATTAGTTAAGACTTCCCGAAGGCAATTCTACAGACATTACAAAACTGTATTACAAAATTACATATCCTCTGACTCACATCCTTGAATTAAAATTTATTTCTCAAAGTTTACCTCAAGGGATCGGTGGGAGATACGTGCAAAGATTTCTATATCAAAACACAAACCATAATATATTTTATAATAGAGAACATCTTTATAGTGTTATAGAGTTATGGAAGGGATTTTTAGACACATGGTTTATTGCTGTCTTTCTTCCATTCCTACTTCTAATGAGGAGGGATGTCTGAGACCCTATCAAGAGCGTGTATCTCCAAATGGCTCAGCTGTCTGCTTTCCCACCACAGGGACAGCTCACTGGGTAAGGGGCAGCCTTGGGGATCCCTTTCTTCTTTCATTGTTACATCCACCTACCCAGGTAGACAGCCTCTGAGAAGGGACTTCACTCTCCTCAGCCTCCCTTGCCACCTGGCAGAGTTTTTGGCTTAGAAGTTTGGTGGAAAATGTTATACTCACTCAAAGATCCCATTCGTCTCTGGTCCCTAACCCTGTTAGATACAAGGTGGACATGGTTTTTATAGACTTAGAGGTTGTTGAGACCCTGGTGAGTATTGGGGAACTGAACTCTGGTTCTCTACAGGAGTGGTATGCACTCGTGATGGCTGAGCCATCGCTCCAGTCCCAACATGACTGTTATTAGTTTGGGTTCATAGAGGTAATAATGTGTTTGGGGTCACTCAGCTACCAGATGGAACATCCAAGCCACTGAGTCACCAGACAAACTCCATTCTGGGCACACAAAGAGAGTAAATTGAGAGCATATGCTAAGCCCAGCAGACCAGGATAACAAAGTCTTTTGTAGAGCAGACGGAGAGTATGCCCTAATCTTCTGTTTCCCCTTTGTCTCACAATTCTGTCTAAACATGTAGCCAGAATGCTTCTGAACGATAGCAACAACAACAAAACCCGTATAGGCAAGGCCCTATGTCCTCCCTGCAGTGGCTTTCCATACCATTAGACCCCCAACTCTTCAAGCTCCCTTCTGGGGTGCATGCCTCTAGCTTCAAACCCTCCCCCCTGGTCTACACATCTCTGTTGCTTTACCAGTTATCACTTAGTGAGCATACAGGCTAGAAGAAGCAAGGCCATTTTGTAATGGTAACACACCCCCATGGGAAGTATTATATCAACCAACAAATGTGGACCCCCCAAATGCCCCAGATACAAGACATTAATCTGCTTAATTCAGTGTGGCACACTGATCAGAGATGCCTACCTGCTGCCTGGCTTTCAGACTGTGAAGAAGAGGGCTGTGACCATGCACTTTCCGTAGAGAATGTGCAGACCTGTTGTGGTTGTGGAGTGCCCTCTGTCTATACCTTGCTGTCTATAACAGAAAAATCATAATAGTGGCTAATAGTTATTATGTGTCTGCAAGGGGCTGGAGTTCTTGGAAGGACCCACGAATTACTTATTTATTTATTTAACTTAAGTTTTGTTGGGTTAGGGGTTGAAACCTGTCCTGGCACATGCCAGGCAAGCATTCCACCCCTGAGTTCCAGCCCCGGACCCAGCAACTGTTTCATTCTCACAACAATAATATGGTTTCTGAGGGATTATTTTGGGTCAGGGTGGTTGGGAAACTTACTAGCAGTCTTCCCCAACAGACTGTAAGATGTAAGTAAAATAAACCCCTTTCTCTCCAAGTTACCTTTGGTCCTGGTATTTATCACAGCAATAGAAAGCAAAGTAGAACACATGTCTTGTAAATGGAGACCAGAATTGAGTTGTGTTTTCCTTCTTTACAGGAAGCTAGCTAATGCCAGTGGAAGACACCAGACACTCAGAACTAAGATGAGTATTTCTTGGAACCCTATTCTTCTCTCGTGGAGATAAGGATTCCTTGCAGAGATACCCCATTATCTTTCAAGACCTGCTCTCTTTGTTCCTTGTGGCAGTGTCTAAGCCACTGTAATGTTGTTGAATTGCCAGCCAAGCTTTCCTTGCATCTCAGTATGAGCACATGCACACTTAAGCCAAGCACTCTGTACAGTAGCATATGTCTGAAATCATTAAGTTATCTGCATTATATCAGGCATGTTCATCCCACCATCCATAATATTCACATAAAGACAGGCTCATAACTACTAACTGGACTACATTTTATAAATGCATGTTAAAGAATATCACCAGTTAGAGTATATATTGTTGGCCATTGGCAGTGAGCTTATGCTCCCATTCAGTCCCCATCATGGTCCTTGCTGACTGACATCCTTGACCCCTGAACCTGGATCACAGCATGGAGCCTTCCCGTTCCCAGGTCCCCAAGTGCTTTCTTACCATTGCCAGTGGTATGACCCCAATCAAGTCCTTCTGGCTCACATAGATCTTGGATACCCCCAAGTCAGACGTGATGTCTCCTGGGTATTCAACCTGCCACGTGACAAGCTGTGTGGTGGGTGGGTCACTGGGTCCTTCAACCTCGACGTCAATCTGCATGACTTCGTAGGAGGCATCGTCCACACTATGGAGTAGGAATGAAGGGAAACAGAGGTGAGCAACTGAGACGCAGAACTCACCTGTGTCGGTGTGGCGTTTCGCCGGCACCTGTGTTTGTGTGCTCCAAGCCTTGAGCAATTTAAGGACAAGTCACCATCTGCATGCTTGCCAGCCCTTGCCAGGGCTCTGACATCATTATTTAAGGGTAGCTCCTTCTTCTGAGCTATTCAGCATCTCCAGGACAGGGGCTGCATTCTCTAAACACTCTCTGACTCACTCTTTCTTTCTTTCTTTCTTTCTTTCTTTCTTTCTTTCTTTCTCCAAGAATGGCTCTTTCCTGGACTTCCAGAAACAACTACACTGTTATGTTGATTTTATCTCAAAGCCACAGTCTGTTTGGTTGGGTGCACAGAATTTTAAAGGGTGCCATGGACTTGTGTTCCACTGATGGTAAGACAGTGTTGCAGGGAAACAGAAGACAGGCAAGGATGTGGGCCCAGGGACCATCCCACTGCTGATAAACATGGACACGTCATCAGCTATCACCCGGAGACAGGAATGGCTGTGACGAATGCTAGTTTTGAGACATATGAGTTCCCATAAACACAGCTCTGGAAACGGATCCAGGCTAGAAGGCTAGAACTATTTTAGCAGCCTTTGCTATTTTCATTAACTGTCTGCTTTCTTCTCTTCAGAGTTTCTTTCTAGTACAATGTCTGCTCTTCTATGTGACAGGTGAGAGAGAAAATGGTTTCATGCCAGCCTTTCTTGAGAAGATGAAAGAAGGGTAGGTGAGGGCTCATAGGGGCTGTCAGAGATGGGCTCTTAAAGGAGCATTAGTGAGCAGACATGTATCTAGTGAGTCAAGTTTCACATCTTCACAAAAGTGCCTTCAAACACTGGCATGTACTATTTATCATTAGCGCTGCTTTATTTCACAGAGGACCAGTTTATGCAAACACGTCAGTGACATCACCTAACATGCAAACTCTCACCTGGAAGCTCAGAAAGAGAACACACTGAACACACAGGTTAAGATGGCTGATTGGAGATCATGAGATTGAATCAAACAAAATCAAGATAAGAGCTATTAATACAGAAACAAGAAAAAGACCTACAGAGAACAGAAACAAGGATGGTAGAAGAAGGCACCCCTACACCAGTCCATGCCAAGATGTTCCTACTGTTCCCAACCGGTCCTGCTCAAAGCATGTATTCAAAAACATTGGGTAGCAGCTATCTTTAGAGTCTGGCAGTTTGGATGCTGAAAACTCAAATCAAAACCTGAATTTCATGTTTCCAGGGGTGAGGGGTGGGCAGAGGACAGTAGACTGTGGACCCAGTACCAGAAGACAGATATAAGAGTCTGAAGTATGGAGATCCAAAGTGCAAAGAAACCAGGGTTGGTGGAAGTGTAAGCAGAACTCGGAGCAGAGTCCTGATGGATGCCATAGATGCTCAACAGCACATATAGAGGTGATGGTATCAGCAGGGTGATTAGGGTGGTTTCCTCAACACCTTCTGCCTCCCTAACACCCTCTCTCATCCCTGAAGTCTTACAGGAGAGTGGGAAGTATGTGTTGGGATGTGTAACAGTCAATCCATCAGATTAGAAAGGGCAGACACAGTTGGTCTTCTTCATTCCCTCAGAGACTCATGTACAGAAAACCCTGCACTGCCCAGATCACCCCCCAAAGCACCAGAGATGGGCTGTAATTTGCAACCTGAGAAAATCCGAGGTGGAATTCTGGCCAGAAGTGGTCTTTGACTTATTTTGAATGTCTGACACCTGCAGCCCCACCCTGTCAATGGCAGATAAAGTACATCTCCCTAGCACGAAGAGACAGACTGAGAGAAAGTACACTGTATTCTGTCATATTTCATTATAGGCAGTATCTTACTATGCAATCCTGGCCAGCCTGGAACTTTCTATGTAGACCAGGATGGCAGCAGACTCAGAGATTCACCTGCCTCTGCCTTCTGAATATTGGAAGTAAAATGTGTACCACCATGCCTAGCTATTTTACTATTCACTTAATATTTATTGTTTAATTTAATTTTTGTTTGTTTACTATTTACTTACTATTTTTGAATTACACTTGTGTGTGTATGTGTGTGTGTATGTGTGTATACCGTCACATACATGTAGAAGTCAATGGTACTCTCCTTTCATTACATAAGTCTTGGGTACAGGACAGAGGTTGTAAGCTTTGGCAGCAATAAGTTGACCCACTGAGCCCTCTCTAAAGCCCTAATTATTTTAATTCTAACTAATTGTTTTTATTAGGTTCATAGAATGCCCACCTCTGTCTTTGGGTTATTTGTTGTGGCTTAATTTGTATCCTCACTGGAAAAGCCTGTGTTGTTTTCCTTTTCTTCCTCTATATCCAACACACAACATTCTTCCTGCTACTCATTGTTTACCCAACCACATACTCTCCTCTCATTCTGATTATACCTCTGTTTTCTCTTTTATCCATTCATTTTTTTTACTTCCCTACTCAAATATTGAGACCATTTCCTCTAAAAAAAAAAATACCATAAACCGATTTGTTACGGAGTTTTTTGTTGTTGCTATTTTGTTTGCAATAGGAATTTCAGTGATACTGTATCTGAATGTTCCAGAGAATGCAGGTGGAGGTCACAAGTGTCTTCACTCTCTGATGCTATTATTCCCTGGACCACTGGTAACCCACTGTATGTGTTACTGCAATCAGCTCTATCTCCAATCTAATGCCACACAAGGACAAGACAACTCACCAGGAGACTCACATAAAAGAAAATAAAAAGAAGTATGACTTTGATTCAGTGTCAGAGCCCTTGCCTAGAAGTATAAGGCCCTGGGTACAATCCCCAGCATTGGAAAAATAAAACAAAAGAAATAAAGAAAAATACAACAAATAAAAGATAAACTACATCCTAAAGATGTAGTTTAAACACACACATTCTAACTGCACACATCACACAAAGAGAGCAAAAGCCAGGAGCCAGCAATGCACAATGGCATTTCACAAAGTGACGTCTCAATACCAGAAAACAAAGATAATAAAATAGATGGAATTCCAGAAAAAGATAGCAGAGTCTTACTTATAAAACTACTCAAGGGCCATCAGAAGACTCCAAAGAGCAGTTGAATGATGTAAGAAAATCCACTCAGGACCCAGACAAGAAAGTGACCGGAGTAGATGAGATGCTCAGTACCCTAGAGTGAGGATTTGAGCACATAGACAGGAAAGGTAGCATGTAGATTGAGACACTGAAGTAGAACCACAGATATTCTGGAAATGCAGAGTCGATCAATAACATTAAAAGAAATGACAATAGAAAGCACTGGATAGACAAGCCTGGTCAGAGGAATGGAGTTCAGGACTGGTGGACAAGGCTGAGACAGTGCATAGAAACATACAGGAAAGAAAAACCAACACAAATGACAAACTTGTGCAAGAACTCTTGGAAACATTCAAGAGACCAACATAAGAATCCCCGAGGTAGAGAAAGGATTTGGAATGAAGTCTAAAGGATGTAGATAATTAATTTGATGAAATTATAGTTGAGAATTCCCCTGATTTTGAGGAAGAGATGGACTTGCAAACATAGGCAATATTTGGAAGTCAAACAGATAGGATGAGCACAACCCATCCATGACACACCACCGTACAAGACAAAAAACACCAAGTCAAGCACAAACAACACTGAAAGCTGTAGTGGGCAAATTGCACCTCACATACAAAGGCAGAAACGTTAAAACAACACCAGATGTCTTATCAGCAACCCTAAAAGCCAGGAGAGCATGGAATAAATAATATGTTTCAATCACTAAAACAAATCACTGTTAACCAAAGTTGCTATGCCATGTGAAATTGCGGGAGAAATATGAACATTTCTTTTCTTGTTCAAGACAAGCAGAAGTCAGAGAAGTTGATGACCATCAAGAAAGTGCTGCAGACTATCCACAAAGGAATACTATAGACACAGGAAGACGAGAGTTTCTCTATGAGAACACAAGAAAGCCTAGTATCTCATGAGAGGAGCGGATGAATAGAGGGGCACTGGGAAGGTATCGACACAACACATCGATTCCCAAAGAGGAGGAAGGAAGGTCCTATCAATAATCCAGCAATCCTCATTTATTTCTCCATTGCTGAGGTAGAACACTGTCTAAAAGTAACGTGGAGAGTAAAGGCTTTGTTTGGCTTACAGGGTCACAGTCCATCAGAGGGAAATCTGTGCAGTAATCTGGAGGCAGGAATTGGAGCAGAGAATGCAGAGGGATGCTGCTTTCTGGCTTGTTCCCTATGGCTTGCCCTAACTGCTTTCTTCTACAGCCTAGGAAGAGCAGCCCAGGCATGGTACCACCTTAAGTGAGCTGAGCCCTTCTACAACAAACATAAATTGATAAAATGCCCAAAAGACTTGCCCATGTGCCAATATGATGGAGGCAATTTTTCAAATGAGGTTTCTTGTTCCCTGGTGTGTCAAGTTGACAACTCAAGCTATGTCACACACCCTTTAAATATACTCTACGAGCCTCACCAGAGAGAGAGAGAGAAAGATTTGTTTCAAGACACTTTGAAATCAACTTTGCTTTTAGGGTCCTCTGCCAACTCTCTGAGTCCTGTGATGTTTCTGTAAATCAAAGTGGAGGCATGAAAACTAGAATATTGGCTGTGAACGCTTCATCACACGTTGCATTTGAAAAGATCAAACGCCACATAGACACTGACCCTTGGGTGGGAGCAATATTAATAGCAGAGAACTCGAGTTATTAAGTCTTCCAGCTTCCTTTCTGTTGTCCTGATAAAACACTCTGAATAAAAGCATCTTGGGGAGGAAAGGGTTTACCTAGCTTACACTTCAAGATCATAGTCTATCATTGAGGGAAGTCAGGGCAGGAATTCAAACAGGAATTGAAGCAAAGCCTAGGGTGGAATATGGATTACTGGCTTGCTCTGGAGATTATGCTCAGCTACCATTCTTATACAGCCAAGGACAACCTGCCTAAGGAGGGATGGTGCCTCAAGAGAG